TCCCTTTCTCCCGTCAGCTCTCACAGGCAGGGCTCCTGAATGGGCTAGTGGGGATTCGCGCAGCGTAAAACATTTGTTTGTCAACTGCTACTACCCCACTAGGGGAAGCTGCTAGCTGTAGGTGCCTTCCAGATTTCAAGAGGGCTATGCAATGGATGCCGACAAAACAGGTCGGGCCAGAACCTCTAGAGCGCTTTGCCCCTGGGCTCCAGGATGCGGTCGAAAGAGCTTTCTCACCCCGTTGCCCAAACACTGGCTGACTGCAACCATCGGGTCGGGCGAAAGGGGGGGATAGCAAAGGGGGGGGTTGAGAATCAGCTCACGTAGCTGATTTTCCCGGCGCCTCCCGGCGCCGGAGGCGGCTATGTATCGAGGAATGGGCCCCTCGGTGTGGCCGTAACAGCTGCATGCAGCAATTTCGGAACCCCCCTTTCCCAATCCCCCCCTTTCGCCCGGCCCGAAACCATTAGCGCACGTAGAATCTGCAACCAACGCCAATCATCGACAAGACCCTTCCGCCGGTGGCTCTTCCACCCGAGGGCAGCAGCCGCCTAAGGAAACATATCAGCCTAATCCCACCCGCCCTCTGGGCGTAGGTGGTCTAGGGAGTTTCCTCTTCCACCCCTCCTCCTTCCCCTTGGGGGAGCGGTTTACCCCTCCCCCTCCCCGCAAGTCGCAAGTCGCCGGAGCGTCGCCGGGCGCCGGAGCGTCCAAAACGGCATCGGCGAGGAAGCCGAAATCATTGCTTTTACTTTGGTTTTGGCCCCATGTTGGCCTCCTGAGGGGGCGACTGTAATCCGTAACCCCCCCTCCTGTGAGCGATCTCACCCAAGATGGCCCAAAGATGGCCCCCAAGGCTCCCAAGGGTGCCCCAAGAGGTGGCCAGGAAGCCCCAAGAGGCCCCCAGGATGTCCCCAAGAGGCTCCCAAGAGACCCCCAAGAGGCCCCAGGAGACCCCCCAGAGGCACCCAAGATGCTCCAAGAGGCCTCGGCGAGAATGCCAAATCATTGATTTTACAAAAAGGTTTTCGCCACATGTTGGCCTCTTGGGGGGGGCACTGATTAAGATTACTCCACGAGCGCCTGGGAGAGCCCAAGATGACCTCCAAGATGGCTCAAGATATCCCAAGATGTCTCATAATGGCTTCCTCTGTGTGCTGCCCACTTCCCTGGTCGAGGCAATTCCTCTGGGCATCGTTTCTGGATGGGCTGGTGGGGATCCGCGAAGCGACAACACTTGGATACTCTGCCCGCACATCTACGCCACTACGGACTACGGGCCAGGAGTGTGCACGCAGGGCCCAAGGCACTGACAGCCAATCGGGGACCAGAAAGTACCGCGAAGACCTCCAAGAAGGCCCGAAGAGGCTCAATTGATTCATTGTCGATTGGTTTTTGAAGGAATCAGACGTTTGTTCACGTTCTGCTTCCGACGGCCCATGTTCGGATCACAGGCCACTAAAATGAAACCACAAGCGCCCAAAATGGCCTCCGATATGGCCCCCAGACAACCCAAAAAGGCCCCCGAAACGGCCCCTAAGAGGGCCCCGAGACGGCCCAGGAGAGATCCCAAAACGCCCAAGGTAGCCTCCAAGACGGCAGGCGAGCCCCAGATGGCCCTCAATGATGCTTCCGAGACGGCCAGCAATTCACTCAAAGACGGCCTGCAGTGGCCTCCAGATGGCCCAAGGGGCCCCTGGAGGCCTCCAGGCCTTCCAGGAAGGCCCGACGGAGTTTTTGATGTTCACTGCGGGGGGAGCCTCCTCCTCCTCCTCCTCCTCCTCCTCCTCCTCCTACCCCCTCCTCTCCTCCTCCTCTCCTCCTCCGCTTCCTCCTCCTCCTCCTCTTCCTCCTCTCCCTCCTCCTCCTCCTCCTCCTCCTCCTCCTCCTCCTCCTCCTCCTCCTCCTCCTCCTCCCCCTCCTCCAGGAAGCCAAATTCCTTGATCGGCTTTTGTTTGTTACTGCGCCTCGGCGACCGACGGCTCCGAGCGACCCAACAAGACCTCCTCCAAGATCGCCCTAAGCTCGCCCTAAGATCGCCCTAAGATCGCCCTAAGATCGCCTAAGATCGCCTAAGATCGCCCTAAGATCGCGCTGAGATCGCCAAACGAGAGCCCAGAAGGCCTCCAAGATGGCCGCGTGACGGCCCAACAAGCCCCCAAGACGGCCCCAAGACGGCCCCAGTAGGGCCCAGAGGCGCCCACGGCGGCCTCCAAGAAGTCGAACACAAGGTGGTAAGTTCACATGGTACATCGCAGGCAACATCGTGTAACGGTACTGGATGGGATGTGGAAGAATGGGGCAGTCCTTCTCCTTTCTAGAAGCGCCGATGATAGATCGGTGAACGAACGGGGCGCGCGCACCTCGAGCCAAGACGGCCGAGAAACGCACTGGATGTCCCCCCGGGCAGCTCCCTCCAGAGTCGGGGAACGGAGGAGACAGCGCTGCGCTTGGCAGTCCTGCAACGGCTCGGGGCGGCGCACGTAGAGAAGTCAGCTCGTCAGGCCAACCGGCCTGACATGTTTTACACAGGCAAACTCTGGGAGTTCCAGAGACTACCACGGCTCAAAGGATTGGGCCCAAGCGGATTCGTTCCCCAAACATCGGGCGAGGCCAGCAGGCCTCGAGATCTGGCGTCAGGAGTTTCCTCCACCGTCGTCCTCTGGTCTACTCCTTGATGGTTCAACCAAAAACGTTGCATATCAAGGCTCGTCTCCGAGCTGCACTGTTGTGTGTGGCTCGGCTCCGAGCTCGCGAAAGACGCTTGTACTGACATGCGCTCGTAATGGGGAGGGCGACCTAGAGATGCAGGACCGCCCAACAAGCCAAACACAACCTCACTCAACACTTAACCTGTAAGACTGTTAACTTCTGCGCTAATGACAAGGATGAACTATTCAACGTCATGTTTGAAAGACTGCTACGTATTCAACTGATATCCCTATCAATACGACCCTTCCCATCAACCACACAAGAATCCTCAGGAACTGGGAGTGGGAGGAGGAGGAGGAGGAGGAGGAGGAGGAGGAGGACGGAGGAGGAGGAGGAGGGAGGGAGCATGAGGAGGAAGGCCCCAGCCCACACCGTAGCAAGCGCCGAGGACAACACGTATCCCTTAAGGGAATTCTCACACTCTCGCGGCGCCCCGGCCATTCCTTAGTCTTCGGCCGTGGTCACCAATGTGCAACAAAGCAGGAACAATCATGTTTCTGTACGGGTTGTCAACAGACTCGCTACGATCTGGGCAGGAGCCTTTTCGCACTCCTCCCTTTCATCCTCCTCCTCCTCCTCCTCCGACTCCTCCTCCTCGTCCTGCTCTCCCGCCTCGTCGTGGGAGGCGGAGGAAGCTGTGTGCACGTTTACACACAGGCTTGTGTGCACCACAGGGGTTGTGTCCATCGCGACTTACGGACTTTTCCCGGACACTGAACTGCGCCCTCCAATCTTTATACTAGACGGAAATGTCCGGGGGTCCCGCCTGGAAGCACAGATTCCTTATGTTATGCACCCACCGTATTTGCTGCGGTTGCTTCGGTTGGGTATGTGCCGTTGGGGCACTCGAATTATCAGCCCCGTCTGCGTCGTAGCCCCGAAGCTGCACACTACCTGTGGTACTGACCACTCTCAATGTAGGTGTCCGGCAGTGTCCAGATTGATACAGGCAATGTAGTGGCCTTGCATCTATCGTGTGCAAGTGGTTGCGAAACAAAAGATATATCCACATGTGTACCGGTACCCAGATGCTAGTGGAGTATCTGCTGGCGGTTTTCCCATCGGGTAGGCGCTCACCGCGTTGGTACAAGTACATCCTGATCGTCGTCGGAAACATACGCAACGTGGACGAAGTACTCTGTCTGAGATGCGCGAAAATGATGCGGATAGCGACATTATTGACGTGTGGGCCCTTCGCCAGCCCCAGGGGGCGGAGTGCGTCGTCCAGCGTGACGGTCTGGAAGCATTTGACTGCAACCGTAGGGCTCGCCTCCCAGAGCAATCGCGAAAGACCTTTGCAATGTGCCGTCTTGGACAGCATGTTTGCGCCTGGTACACTCGCGTAGAATTCTGCCCAGGAGTAGTCCGCGCCCCCGATGCGGTCCTTACAGTGGCTGTCGCTGTCTATGAACTCGTCGTCCAATAGTGCGGCACATCTATTGCGGCGTGGACGGTCGTCGTGCACTGTGTCTCAGCCCTCGTCGAAGTGTTTTTGGAGTGCACATGCAATCTTCGTAGGAACATCATCTGTGTCGCTGCTCCGTGCACTGCCAACCTCCTAGTATGGGTTAGCTTCGCAATATGCGGCCTCCAGGGGGGTCGTCTAGAGGGGCCGCAGGTTTGGCGAGGTGCTTCGGCGGGTCACTTGAGGATGCGGGTGGCGGTGGTGGTGGTAGCAGTGCAGTCGTCTCGTCGTCGCCGTGTCGTGGGGGTGGTGGCACTTGCGAAGGTGGCTCTTCCGTCTCGCCGTGGTCCCCTTGGTCGTCTGTCGCAGGCTTCTTCGAAGTCTTAGCAGTCGCTTCTCCGTTGACGGAGCAGGTGTAAAAATCGGATGTCGCCCTAAGTGTTCTCTGTCTGGCTCTCGGCGCTCCTCTGGTCTGGCGAGGACTGTTATTCTTGCAATGGTATTTCCATGCGGCGGATCATGTCCTCTGTGGCCTCGTGTCGGGCGATGTCGCGGTCGATGACTTCGCTAGTGGGTGTAGGGAGCTCCTTAGCCATGAGCCTCGACTCCGCCTCGTAGAGTGCCAGCTGCTGATCACGGCACTCCTTTTCCGCATCGTGTTCCCGTTCTAATAGTCGACGTGGGAATCTGAATCGGGACCGTCTCCGTGCATTTGGCCTCGTCCTCCGACTGATGTGCAGTAGCGTTCCCGTTGTATATCTCGTGCATTTCCGCGGTGTTTTTGTGTTTGGGCGAGCTGATGTCGGAGACTGAATATATGGGCTTCGGCAGTTCCTTTTCCAGCTTCTCCGGGTCTGTGGTCTGCTTGTGTCTGCGCAACACGGCACTGGTGAAGAACGACTTCGGATACGGCTTGGCGGTGTACACACCTGCGGCTGCAGTGGCTCCATAGGCAGAATCCTCTTCCATTTCTTTTCCTTACAACTAGCTCCTCCCTGTCGTGCCCCGAAGCCAGTTCGAAGGGCAGGCCTGGCGTTTCGCCTGAGAGTTCCCTACCATTTATGACCCTGAAACTTGAACATTGGCATCAGCTTCACAGATGGAAGGCGGGTGGCTTTCAACATGTGCCTCTCACCTTAGCGCCGCGCTCATTCGTTTTGAAACTGTGCATGGGTTTCACGGACTGAGGGCGGGTCGTTTTCAAAATGTAGCTCTCGCCCCAGCGCCGCGCACATTCGTTTCAAATATTCGCAAACAGCTTCACGGATTGAGGACATGTCGTTTTCAAAATGTGCTTCTCGCCTCAGCGCCGCGCTCATTCGTCATACAACTTTGCATGCGTTTCACGGATTGTGGTTCTCGCTCTAGCGCCGAGCACATTCGTTTAACAAACTGCAGAGTTTCACAATGTTTGACTGATTCTCATGGCTAGCGTAGCAGACATGGGGCTTTAGAACTGTCAGGGCGCAACAGTTACGTTCATTCGAGGTTTTGAAATCCCAGGAACGGCACTCTGGCACGATTCAGGTCGTCAAGACGCACCAGTCAAGTTGATTCGCCGCGTTGAATTCCTGAAACATGTTTTCGCACGTTTCAGGGTTTTCAAACGGTTGCCTCCCAACGCGGCACTTCCACCAGTGGAACTGAGTCCTTGCTGATGCCCGTGAAGACGGAGCTTGGAGGGAGGGTTTATTCCACCAGTGGAACTGAGTCCTTGCTGATGCCCGTGAAGACGGAGCTTGGAGGGAGGGTTTACTCCAACATCATTAATGCATGTTGGGCTTACACTGGTCCTCCTCCTCCTCCTCCTCCTCCTCCTCCTCCTCCTCCTCCTGTCCCACCTCCCCAAACACCCCTCCTCCTCCTCGTCCTCCTCCTCTTGTCCCACCTCCCCAACACCCCTCCCTCCTCCTCGTCCTCCTCCTCGGTCCGCCCTCTGCCCCTCCAGGGCCCGGCGGCGGCCGCCTGGCTTCCGGCTGCTCCCGCCCGCGCGGCGCGGAAAACGGCCTGCTGGCGGAGAACGGCCTGCTGCGGGCGGGCCGGCCGTGGGGGCCGTGAAGAGAAGGGGGCTCCCGAGGCCCGCAGGAGGCCCGCGCAGCCGCTGCCCCCGAGGAGCGGCCGCCCGTGGCGCGTCGCTCCCGTCGCAGGAGCCGTGGGGGACTGCGCCGGGCTCCCGACCGCAGAACGCCCGCGGCAAACAGACCCGCGGCACCACGAAGCACCCGAAGGCCGAAGGAGGACAAGGTAAGACAAGATCAGATGCTGTGCGGCAAGACAGCAGATGATACGATGCTGCCGAGTACCATAAGGTACGATAGCGTAAGACAGTATAACATACGATTGAACAAGATTGCGCCTCGTAGAGGTCGGAAGGCGGGCTCGCCGAGTGAACAAGACAGGCGGGCGCAACAACGATCGGATGAGTGCCCGGCATGTGCACCTCGCACATCACACGTCTGCCTGGAGATGATGATGATGATGATGATGATGATGATGATGATGATGATGATGATGATGATGACGATGATGATGATGATGCTGATGATGATGATGAGGAGGAGGAGGAGGGGGAGGAGGAGGAGGAGGAGGAGTAGGATGAGTAGGATGAGGATGATTAGGATGATTAGGATGATGATGATGATGATGATGATGATGATCATCATGATGATAATGATGATCCCGCTCTCCCAAGGGGGCCGCTGCCGACGTGCACACTCCCCCTGCTGCTGCTACATTATCCCCAGCTCCCCGCACGCTCCCTCGAGCGCGACCTCTCTCGCGGCGGGAGGGGGGGCGGGGCGCCGAGGTCGGCCTCTACCCCCCCTTTGGTGGGGTGGAGGCCTCGCTTCATTCTGCGGAGCCCTTCGGCCTGCCTGCTCGAGAGCGGCCGAGATGGGCACTCGTCGCCGAGTGCCATGACCCGACGGCTGCGGCAATACCCGCCGCACCGCACGCAAAAAGCTAGGTCTCCCGTCCGCCACATCCTGTGGGACGGGTGGAACCTCGCGTTCCACCAGGGGGGCCGCGTCTCCCCGAGACCAGGTCCAGGCCCAGGAGGGCCCCGCGACCACCCGACCTCGCCCCCTGTGCCCCCCCTGGTGGAGGAGCCCCTTCGCTGGAAGGGTTCTCGATCGAACTAACTTGCGCTGGAGACTGCTGCTCGTGCTGCTGCTGCTGCTGCTGCTCCTCGCCCCCTCCTCCGCTGGCCTCCCCCCCGCTCGCTGCGGCGGCCCCTGCTATGATGCCGAGGAGCGCGGCCGCGCCTGCGCCTGAGCCCTCGGTTCCCAAGGCGGGCGGGGGCGGTGGCGGCGGGGGCGGGTGGGAAACAGCGGGGAGAGGACGGCCACTCGCCGCGCATCCGAGGCAGCACCAGATGCGTCTTGCCCCGACGAGAGCCGACGAGCCGTGCCTCTCGCACGCGCGGACCGAACAGCGGCCGCATGGTGCGATCGAGCGCAGGCGGCAGCCAGGAGCAGCACATCTAATTATCTGGAGGCCAGGCGCAGCGTAGCCGTCGCTCGCCGTGAGCCAGCTGCTGCCTTCCTGCGGCGCCTGGCCGAACATCCTACCCAGGCTCTCACCCCACCCGTCGGCAATGCTCGCAACCTCGACCAGCGCGGGGAAGGTGGGGTGGATGCTGGCGCCCTGCTTGGCCCTCAAGTCGGCGAGCTTGTTGCCCCGCCGCTTCCACTCCGTGGAGGACCCGACCAGGACGTCATGCATCGTGGCGCGCCCCTTCACCTTTGTGGTCTGAATGGCGCCCCTGCCTATGTCGTGGACCCGCTTCCAGAGGGCGGTCCACAGGCCTCTGTGCGGCATTGACCAGCATCGGCACCAATCCTCTCCTGCCTCCCAGCCGTCTTCGAGCAGCTGCGAGTCGCTGAAGAGGTGCACGGGCGGGAGACAGTGGGCCAGGGCCTCCACTGCCGCCAGCAACTCCCCCGAGCCCGACTCCTGGGCGAGCGGCCATTGCACTGGCCCCATGATCGACGAGATCACGGCGCCCGCGTGGTCCGTCGAGCAAGCTGCCCATCCCGCTCGCGCCAGAACTCGGCCCTGGGCGCGGGCCGCCGCACCGTCCAGGAAGACCTCTCCATGGAGCGGCTCGCCCGCCCACGGCCCCGCTGTGCGCACTATGCGCGCCGTGAGCGGCAAGGGGAGGTCACTGCGCGGGTCCTTGACCGGGCACCGCGACCAGATGGCGTGCTCCGCGTCCGAGTCCAGCGGGCCGCCTGTGCCGTAGAAGTAGCTGATGTTGAGGTCGTCTGCCTTCCATTGCCTGGCCGAGGACCACCGCGAAGCAAGGGCGTGGTCAGCGATGCTTCGCCAGCCGCCTCCTCAGGCCGTTGATGGCCGCGCCGCCCTTCAGGTGGCCCCGCAGCGGGTCGTGGCTCGCCACGTCCCTCCAGAGCTTCCTGATGAAGGCAGCCTGTACTTCGCGTTGGATTGCGTGCCTGTCGGTCTCGCCCAGGTCTAGGATCCTCCCAAGGTCGTCCGTCCAGCGCCTGATGTGGTCAGCTCTCCAGCCGAGGCGCGCCGCGGCAAGGGCCGCTGCGGAGGCTGGGCCCCTTCCCGCCAGGCCCTCTGGCCCGCTGGCGGTGAGGCGCTCGCGCGCCGCCGCAAAGGCCGAGCCGAGGGCGCGCCTGTCCTGCTCATTGACCTGCTGCAGCGCCCTCGCCCACGCCTCCATGGGCTTGGCGATGTGGTCGAGGAGCGGGTCGTCCCACGGCTTCGCGGCCAGCAGGTAGCTGAGGCAGATGCTCCTGACAGGCCCCGTGCCGAAGGCGATGGCTGCGAGCTTGGACCTCCATCTCGCCAGCGCCGATGACGACCAGGCTATACGAGAGATACCGTATGATGTAGCGGGCTTAAGTCCAGCATTGACGAGCTTGACTGCCGCTTCCTTCCTTACCCGTCGTATCTGGTGGACACGGCCGAGCTGGGCCGCGGCGGCTTGGCGTCGGCCAGCCGCCACCTCCCCGGCTCTGGCGCCCACGGCGTAGCCCGCTCCCAAGTTCCTGGTCTCCTTGGCATGCGCGAAGGAGCCCTCGTCCATGTGGTACTCGCTGAGGCGGCGCAACTTCTCGGTGGTCCCCAGGATCTCGCTCTTGTCCCTGGAGACGACCGCGCCTATGCCCCGCTCCAGGCCTCTGATGACGGCGCACGCCGCCTTGCCTAGCATGATGCCCACCTGCGCTTCCGAGCCAGTGTGGCGCAGGGAGCAGTCGTCGAACATGATGGCCACGATGAAGTAGTCGAGCTCGGACGGCGGCGCGTCGGCCGCGACGTGGCAGGTGCCGAGGCCCTCTTCGTTGCATGCGACCTGGCCTCTCACCGCCTCCAACCAGAAACGCGCCGCGTCGGGGGAGAGGGCGGGCTCCACGTTGACGCCCCCCCCGATCACGAAGGACCTGCCCGAGGCTCTCAGCGCGTGCCCCAGCGTGCGCAGCACCTCCCACGACGCAGGCCCCTGGCGGTCGTTGTCGAGGTAGACGCTGGCCGCCAGCACTCCTCCTCGCTTGAGCCCCTCGATGTGGAGGCAGGTGCGCCGCCCAGGGTGGACGTGCTGAGATCTGGTCCCAGCGGCGGCGCCTCGCAAAGGCTGAGCGGCGCCTCGCGCCGCCCAGACCACAACTCCTGTGCCGCCCGAGGCGGCCCTCCTCTGCTGCGTGTCCAGGCTGCCTGGGTGGCTGGTGCCAGGCGTGAGGGCATCCCGCAGGCCCTGCCTGCGCAGCCACTGCTCCTCGCGGGTTGCCTCCTCCTCGTGTAGGTGGGTCTCCTGGGCCAACCAGCACTGACCCGCATGGGCCTCCCTGGCCAGCTCCTGAGCCCTCTCCTGAGGCCTGCCCCATATGGTCGTGAGGGGTCCCCAGCCTGAGCCGTTGGCGGAGTCGAACGTGAACGGCTGCAAGGCGCTTCGACCGCCACGGCGCCCGCCGCTGCTAGGGAGACGCTGTGGGCGCGCTCTCCTTGGCGTCGCCTCCTGGCTTGCGACCGCGCACCTCCCTCGCGGCCTTCTTGAGCTCTGCGAGCCGCTCTGCCGACAGCTGGGGCTGTCTGGGGGCTGGGGCGGCCTCAGGCTGGCTGGGCGTGCCAGGGGCCGCGTCGCTGGTATGGCCTGCTGCGTCGCCCCCAGCGCCTCGCTGTTCGTCGCCAGGAGGGTCAGGTTCACCAGCAGGCCGAGCAGCTTCAGAGTCCATCCGCCGCTTCTTGGCCTTGGCGCGGAACTCGTCCTGCATCTTCTTGAGGCCCTCTCTCCGCTTCTCGAGCTCCTCAGCCGCGGGCTTGAACATCGCCTCCACCTGCTTCGTGAAGTCCTGCTTGAACTGCTCCAGCGTTTTCTCCCAGTCGGCCTGCTCCTGCTCCGTGAGCGAGATGCCGTCGAGGTCGAAGGCGGCCCCGAGCTCGAAGTTGCGGCCCTCCCTCCCCTCGAGGACGGAGGACAGGTTGACCGAGACCGATGCTGGAGTGGCCTGCTCGCCTTTGAGGCAGCCCTTGGCGTGTGCGATGGCCCTCGTCTGCTCCTCGAGGGTGAGCGCGTACTCCGCCGCAAGCTCGTCCTCCTTGGCCTGGCACTTGGCGAGCCAGGCGCGGGCCCCCTCGGTGGCGTCGAAGGCCTCGTTGAGCGCCTTGGTCGCACGACGCGCCGCTCCCCATGCCCGCTGGACGGCCTCGTCTGGCAGCTCGGGCTTGGGCGCCGTGGCCGTGGGCTGCTGGAGCGCCGCCTCGAGGCCCGCCAAGGCCTGGGACGCCTCCAGGGGGAGCTCCTCCTTGCGGCGCCTGATGGTCTCGAGCAGCGTCTCCTCCCGCACCTGCCGCGTGTCGGGCCGCAGCCTGGCCTCCTGCCACGGTGGCCGAGAGGCAGGCCGAGCACGGCCAGCGGCTGCGTCGGCGCTCGCTGCCCGGTCGGACCAAGCACCATCAGGCGACCTGGCGGGCGAGGACGCGGGCGAGAGGCACTGGCCGCAGTTGAAGCAGGCCGAACGTGTGCGCCACGTCCACTTGTACTGGCACTTGGAGCACTTCTGGAACCCATCCTGCAAGCGACGTCCGCTGCCACCCATGGCACAGACTCCGAGCGAAGGGCAGGATCCTGGCGCCGCTGGGAGCCTGAAGTGACTGACACTGAAGAAAGCGCGGGGGCTTTGAGCCGCCCCCTCGGCTGCATCCAAGCTCCAAGCGCCAGGGACGCGTTTGGAACTTGAGCCAAAATGGCTACGGATGATGATAATGATGATGATGATGATGATGATGATGATGACGAGGAGGAGGAGGAGGATGCTGATGCTGATGCTGATGATGATGATGATGCTGATGATGCTGATGATGAAGATGATGATGATGATGAGGAGGAGGAGGAGGAGGATGGGGAAGAGGAGTAGGAAGAAGAGGAGGAGGACGACGACGACGAGGAGGACGACGACGAGGAGGAGGAGCGAACGTCCCCTGCCAGACGCCTGCGTCCTCTTGCGCGGCACCCGCGGCGGGCGCGCGGGCGGCCGCGCCCGTCGGCGCGCGGGGGGGGCCTCCTCGCAGAGGTGGTCGTCGAGAGTCAGGTCGCGCACGTCCCCCCTCCAAGGGGGATTTTGGACGAAAAATCAATAATACCAACAAAAAAATAGCCCAAATAGCTAATGCTCTAGAAATGGTCCCCTGACTATTCTTTGACCGTTTTTGGACGAAAGACAACCGCCCCCCCCCCCGCACATCGTCCAAGGATGCATGTCTACCGCGAGGCCGCGGTCGGGGAGCGCGGCCTCGAGATCGCCGGGGGGTTCGGAGGAAGACTGCGCCGGCGGCGCGCCCGCGCCGCGGATCGGGGCGGCTACCAGTTGTCCATCGTGACGCTGATGCGGGAGGTGGCGCGCGGGCTCGCGCTGTGCGCATCCCGCGTGGGACCTAACGCTAAGTCGGGCACGTCCCCCTACAGGGGGATCTTGGACGAAAAATCAGAAATACCAGGAAAATGCACAACAAAAACGATCAAAGAATGGTCTCTGGACTATATTTTGATTACTTTTGCACATTCGCCCTGTAGAGGGACAGGCCCGACTGAATCGTAGACGTTCAGGCTGTTGCCCTGCACCCAATGCTCGGCGTGCTCGGCGAACTCCTGGTTCTGGAAGGTGCCGGCGTCCGGAGCTGGTTGAGCAGCTCGAGCAACAGGCGCAGCACCTCCAGCACCACCGTGGAGCGACGCAGGAAGTCGAAGTGCTCGGCGCGCGGCAAGCACAGCTTCACTGAAGGCTGAGTAATTGTTCTCGGAATCGATGTTCGTGAGCTTCTGCGGGTCCTTGATCGTGTGGTACAGGCGGTAAACCACGGCCAGACGTGTGATCACATGCTTGACGTGGTCATCTGCTGTGTAGTTGTCATCATGAAGGCCAAGACGAGCAAGTACACAGCGGTGAAGCCGACCACGTGGAAGCGCAAGTGAGTGCCCGAGCCGGGGGCAGGTCACGTAGTGCGCGGTAGAGTCCGCGCGGGAGGCTTTGTCACAGCCGAAGACGCAAACGCGACGATCGGGTTGAACGTGGAGATGAAAGCTAGTCGCCCACCCGCCAGCCAAAGTCTTCACCGCCGGCCAGAAGGAGGAGGAGGAGGAGGAGGAGGAGGAACGAGCAACCCCAATGCGCGGGCTCTCCTAACAACACTTGACGGCGCCGTCGCGGTGGGCCACGCCACACAGCGCCTCGTGGGAGGGCGCCCGCTGGTCGTCGGAGTCGACGCGGGAGCTGCCCTCGAAGTCGTCAAACTGTGAAGAAGCAGGCTGCGAACCCGCCACAGGGTCGCCCTCTCCCTCGCGGGTGGGGGAGCGGAAATCGTAGTCGTCTGAGAGCCAACGGGCCTGGGCAGCGTGACAGAGAGTCGGGCGCCGCGGCCGCTCCGGAGCGATTCCCTGGAGCGCCCCGGGAGCGCGCTGGTCCACAAGTTGAACTTCGAGTCCCCATCGAAAACCAAAAGAAAACCCGAGGCAGACTGTGAAACAACGAAGGAACACGGAGCCCCTCCCCAACGAGAAGGGTTCCTTCTACAGCGCCCCGAATGTAGGTCGGGCATGTCCTCCTTCAGGGGGACTTCGGACGAACCATCGACAGTAGTGGAAACGTAGTTGACGAAAACAATCGAAAGTAGCAGACAACTCGCCCCCAGACTATATGTGTGTGGACTCTGTTGGCGTGCTCCTCCTGTAGGGAGGAACATGCCCGACCGAAGGCAGTCGTTCGTCTTGTTCTCCTCTCCCTCCTCCTTCTCCTCCTCCTCCTCCTTCCCCTACTTTTCCTCCTCCTCCTCCTCCTTCTCCTCCTCCGTCTCCTCTACCTTCTCCTCCTTCTCTTCCTCCTTCTCCTCCTCCTCCTGCTCCTCCTCCTCCTCCTCCTCGTCTTCCTCCTCCAGCTTCCCTCCTCGTCCTCCTCCTCCTCCTCCTCCTCCTCTTCCGTTCCTTCTCCGTATAGATAACTCCTCCCTGTCGCACCCCGAGGTTAGTTTTTAGGGCGAGCCGGGCGCTTCGCCTGAGACTTCCTCACCGCCTATGACTCTGAAGCTTAAACAGTGGCGACAGTTTCACAAACGGAAGGCGGGTCGTTTTCAAAATGTGGCTTTAGCCTTTGCGCCGCGCACATTCGCTGCAAACATTTGCAAGGGCTTCACGGGTTGAGGGTGGGTCGTTTCCAAAACGTGACTCTCGCCTTAGCGCCGCGCATATTCGTTCTCAGAATGTGCAAGAGCTTCACTGATTGAGGGCGGGGGGTGTCAAAATGCGATTTTCGCCTAAACGCCGCGCGCATTCGTTTTAAAACTTACACGAGCTTCACGGATTGAGGGCGGGTGGTTTTCAACATGTGTCTCTCGCCGGAGCGCCGCGCACATTCGTTTTAAATACTGCTTCGCGGGTTGAAGGCGGGTGGTTTTCAAAATGTGGCTCTCGTCTTAGCGCCGCGCACATTCGTTTTACAAATCTGCAAGATTTTCACGGATTGAGGGCGGGTGGTTCACAACATGTGGCTCTCGCATTAGCACCGCACAGATTGGTTTCAACAAGTTGCAAGAACTTCACGGATTGAGGGCGGCTCCTTTTGAAAACGTGGCTCTCGCTTTCGCGCCGCGCACATTCGTTTTCAAACTTTGCAAGAGCTTCACGGATTGAGGGCGGTTCCTTTTCAAAAGGTGGCTCTCGCTTCAGCGTCGCGCACATTCGTTTTCAAAATATGCAAAAGCTTCACGGATTGAGGACGGCTCCTTTTCAAACTGTGGCTCTCGCCTCAGCGCCGCGCACACTCGTTTCCAAAATTGGAAGAGTTCCACTGATTCCCATGATCAACGTACCAGAAATTATATTTGGGAAGGATTCTTGATTATACGGGTGCAACAATTATGTTGATTCGCATTGTGAAATCCCCAAACTGGCGTTCTGGCACGATTGCGGATCGTCATAACGCAGCAGTCAGGTTGATACGTGGCGTGGGACTACCGGGATGGCAGGTCCTCAAACGATTGTCTTCCAACGAGGCAGGTCCGTCTGTGGAAATGAGCCATTGTGGGGACCTATGAAGAGGGAAGCTTGGAGGGAGGGTTAACTCCAACATCGTTGATGGCCTCGTGGTTTTTACCACTGGTCCTCCTGTCCTCCTCAATGCTCCTCATCCTCCTCCTCCTCCTCTCCTCCTCCTCCTCCCCCTCTTCCCCCTCCTCCTCGTTCTTCTCCTCCTCCTCTTCCTCTTCCTCTTCCTCCTCCTGTTCTCCTCCTGTTCTCCTCCTGTTCTCCTCCTCCCCCCCCCCTCCCCGTTCTCCCCCCTGGGCCAGCGACAGCAACGACAGGGGCATGGGGCCCGCCCTGCGCCCGATCGGGCGGGCCTCCTGGCAGCGCTCCGCGGGCGGCCAGC